GCTGTAGTTACCCCATACTCGACCTGTGGGCTGTAGTTACCCCATACTCGACCTGTGGGCTGTAGTTACCTATACTCGACCTGTGGGCTGTAGTTACCCCATACTCGACCTGTGGGCTGTAGTTACACCATACCCGACCTGTGGGCTGTAGTTACCCCATACTCGACCTGTGGGCTGTAGTTACCCCATACTCTACCTGTGGACTGTAGTTACCCCATACTCGACCTGCGGCTGTAGTTACCCCATACTCGACCTGTGGGCTGTAGTTACCCCATACTCGACCTGTGGGCTGTAGTTACCCCATGCTCGACCTGTGGGCTGTAGTTACCCCATACTCGACCTGTGGGCTGTAGTTACCCCATACTCGACCTGTGGGCTGTAGTTACCCCATACTCGACCTGTGGGCTGTAGTTACCCCATACTCGACCTGTGGGCTGTAGTTACACCATACTCGACCTGTGGGCTGTAGTTACCCCATACTCGATCTGTGGGCTGTAGTTACACCATACTCGACCTGTGGGCTGTAGTTACCCCATACTCGACCTGTGGGCTGTAGTTACCCCATACTCGACCTGTGGGCTGTAGTTACACCATACTCGACCTGTGGGCTGTAGTTACCCCATACTCGACCTGTGGGCTGTAGTTACCCCATACTCGACCTGTGGGCTGTAGTTACCCATACTCGACCTGTGGGCTGTAGTTACCCCATACTCGACCTGTGGGCTGTAGTTACCCCATACTCGACCTGTGGGCTGTAGTTACCCCATACTCGACCTGTGGGCTGTAGTTACCCCACACTCGACCTGTGGGCTGTAGTTACACCATACTCGACCTGTGGGCTGTAGTTGCCCCATACTCGACCTGTGGGCTGTAGTTACACCATACTCGACCTGTGGGCTGTAGTTACCCCATACTCGACCTGTGGGCTGTAGTTACCCCATACTCGACCTGTGGTCACACTATTCACTTCATATTGTTTTTAAAAACTATTGTTTTGTTATTATCATGAACATTAATAAAGTTAGAGGTAAGTGGAAGTATTAACTAGCACAAAGGGTAATAGAGACAAAAGGATAAATACCTCTGGTCTAGGGTATCAGTAACAGGAGATGGAGTGTGACAGTAGGATGGTGCAAGGGTGCGCGCGCGCGTACCCCTGGCTGCTGAGACTCAGTCTTTGCAACTCCTAGTTGCAACGGTTGAGTGTCAACTCCTGGCCCGAGTGTGTGTGTCTACCTATTTCTAACTACTGGAGCAGAGCTATGACCATGGTATCCTTATTCCTTATATATATATATATATATATATATATATATATATATATATATATATATATATATATATATATATATATATATATATATATATTTTTTATTATTTTTTTATTATCACACTGGCCGATTCCCACCAAGGCAGGGTGGCCCGAAAAGAAAAACTTTCACCATCATTCACTCCATCACCGTCTTGCCAGAAGGGTGCTTTACACTACAGTTTTTAAACTGCAACATTAACACCCCTCCTTCAGAGTGCAGGCACTGTACTTCCCATCTCCAGGACTCAAGTCCAGCCTGCCGGTTTCCCTGAACCCCTTCATAAATGTTACTTTGCTCACACTCCAACAGCACGTCCCAAATATTAAAAACCATTTGTCTCCATTCACTCCTATCAAACACGCTCACGCATGCCTGCTGGAAGTCCAAGCCCCTCGCACACAAAACCTCCTTTACCCCCTCCCTCCAACTTTTCCTAGGCCGACCCCTACCCCGCCTTCCTTCCACTACAGACTGATACACTTTTGAAGTTATTCTGTTTCGCTCCATTCTCTCCACATGTCCGAACCACCTCAACAACCCTTCCTCACCCTCTGGACAACAGTTTTGGTAATCCCGCACCTCCTCCTAACTTCCAAACTACGAATTCTCTGCATTATATTCACACCACACATTGCTCTCAGACGTGACATCTCCACTGCCTCCAGCCTTCTCCTCGCTGCAACATTCATCACCCATGCTTCACACCCATATAAGAGCGTTGGTAAAACTATACTCTCATACATTCCCCTCTTTGCCTCCAAGGACAAAGTTCTTTGTCTCCACAGACTCCTAAGTGCACCACTCACCCTTTTCCCCTCATCAATTCTATGATTCACCTAATCTTTCATAGACCCATCCTCTGACACGTCCACTCCCAAATATCTGAATACATTCACCTTCTCCATACTGTCTCCCTCCCATCTGATATCCAATCTTTCATCACCTAATCTTTTTGTTATCCTCATAACCTTACTCTTTCCTGTATTCACTTTCAATTTTCTTCTTTTACACACCCTACCAAATTCATCCACCAATCTCTGCAACTTCTCTTCAGAATCTCCCAAGAGCACAGTGTCATCAGCAAAGAGCAACTGTGAAAAACTCCCACTTTATGTATGATTCTTTATCTTTTAACTCCAGCTTCTTTGCCAAGACCCTCGCATTTACTTCTCTTACAACCCCATCTATAAATATATTAAACAACCACGGTGACATCACACATCCTTGTCTAAGGCCTACTTTTACTGGGAAATAATTTCCCTCTTTCCTACATACTCTAACTTGAGCCTCACTATCCTCGTAAAAACTCTTCACTGCTTTCAGTAACCTACCTCCTACACCATACACCTGCAACATCTGCCACATTGCCCCCCTATCCACCCTGTCATACGCCTTTTCCAAATCCATAAATGCCACAAAGACCTCTTTAGCCTTATCTAAATACTGTTCACTTATATGTTTCACTGTAAACACCTGGTCCACACACCCCCTACCTTTCCTAAAGCCTCCTTGTTCATCTGCTATCCTATTCTCCGTCTTACTCTTAATTCTTTCAATAATAACTCTACCATACACTTTGCCAGGTATACTCACTTTTATCCCCTTTGCCTTTATACAAAGGAACTATGCATGCTCTCTGCCAATCCCTAGGTACCTTACCCTCTTCCATACATTTATTAAATAATTGCACCAACCACTCCAAAACTATATCCCCACCTGCTTTTAACATTTCTGTATTTATCCCATCAATCCCGGCTGCCTTACCCCCTTTCATTTTACCTACTGCCTCACGAACTTCCCCCACACTCACAACTGGCTCTTCCTCACTATATATATAAAAATATATGTATATAAATATATGTATATATATATATATAATATATATATATATATTAATATATATATATATATTATATATAATATATATATATATATATATATATATTTCAAATAATGGCTGTAGCAGTTGCTACTTCATCTTGTTGTCCTTATTGCCGGTAGCCGTTATGTATTTATTATTATAATCAAAAAGAAGCGCTAAACCACAAGGGCTATACATTGCCGGTAGCCGTTATGTAGCTCTTGGGCCTTTTCTAACATCCACATTTTTTGTTTAGGTCTTGGAACCACACAATGCATTAATGTGTGTACTGCTTGTGAAGGCTGACATTTCAAACGGGAGTAGAATGAAATTAATTCTGAGCGGGAAATGGTTATAATCATAACCACAATTTTTAAAGGAATGGACCGGTAAGCCAGCGGAAGGCCTCGGCCAGATAACGAAAACCTCCAGCGGCGGCTCATACGACTAAGACCCGCATCAGGAAACACTTGTCCTGTTTACCTGGAGGTTATTCCGGGGATCAACGCCCCCGCGGCCCGGTCCACGACCAGGCCTCCCGGTGGATCAGGGTCTGATCAACCAGGCTGTTACTGCTGGCCGCACGCAGTCCACCATACGAACCAGAGCCCAGCTGATCCAGCACCAACTTTAAGTATCTGTCCAACTCCCTCTTGAAGGCAGCCAGGGGGTCTATTGGTAATTCCCCTTATGCTTGGTGGACTCTGGACACTTATTGTCTTTTCTCTTAGAGTGCCAGTGTCGCCTCTACTTTTCATTGGGGGTATTTTGCACCGCCTGCCCAGTCCTTGACTCTCGTAGGGAGTGATTTCTGTGTGCAGATTCGGGATCGTTCCTTCTAGGATTTTCCAGGTGTAGATTATGATATATCTCTCTCGCCTACGTTCCAGCGAGTACAAGTCAAGTGCTTCCAGGCGTTCCCAGTAGTTAAGGTGTTTGATGGAATTTAAATATGTGCAGTAAATTATTATTATTATAATCAAGGGGGAAGCGCTAAACCCAGAGGATTATACAGCGCCTGGGGGAGGGGGGGATGTGGAAGGCATTCAGGCTTAATTCGGGGAACTGGAGCACAGATCCAATTCCCTAAATCAAGAGCCCCTCACCAACATTAAGGAACCTTCCTTGAGGGGTATGTGCAGTAAAGGTTCTTTGTACATTTCTAGGTCTGCAATTTCACCTACTTTGAACGGAGATGTTAATGTACAGCAGTAGTCCGGCCTAAAGAGAACAAGTAATTTGAAAAGGATCATCATTGGCTTGGCATCTCTATGTTTTGAATGTTCTCGTTATCCATCCTATCATTTTATTTGCAGATGTGATCGTGGCACTGTTGTGATCCTTGAAAGTGAGATCCTCAGATATTACTACTCCCAGGTCCCTTACCTAATCTAGTTCTGAGAGCTTACCACAGCCACGTATGTCCTCGCATCATGAAAGATATCTAGTGCTACTGGGTACATGATGTTTGTAGGACTGTTGGCCTAGTGGTTAGAGCGTCGTGGATTTTAACTGGCTTCCCACGAGGCGGGCTAAAATAACACGGGTTAGATCCCCGGCTAGTCGCAGTTTGTTAATTGCATAAACTTGAATAATAAATTTTATTCTGCCTTTCTCTTACCTATTTCTTTTTATTTCAGCTTCTTTCTTTCCCTCTTACATTTCTATATTCATTTCTGGATTATATGAATCTTTGATTGGCACACTTCCTAAATAGCTTCCAAATTTTCCAGGCGTTGTTATGGCCCCTGCGGGTTTAGCGTTTGCTATTAAATATATATATTATAATGCACAATATAATTATAAACCTCTTCTTTTCTTTTCAGTTCGAGCTTCGTGACAGACGTGAGTACGTAGGAGCCTGGCACCTGTGTTGTCATGCTCATCTCGCATTCACAGTAAACTGGTGAAAAATTATATAATATATAATATAATATATATATAATATATATATATATTATATTATATATAGATATATTATATAATAAATATTATATATATTATATATAGTATATATATATTATATATAACATTATATATATAATATATATATATATATATATATATTATATATATATATATATATATATATATATATATATAATTATATATATATATATATATATATATATATATATATATATATATATATAATAATATATATATATATATTAATAATATATATATATATATATATATATTAATATATATATATAATATATATATATATATTAATTATATATATATAATTATATATATATATATATATATATATATATATATATATATAATATATATATATATATATATATATATACATATATGTCCCAAAAGTCTAGAAAATATGGAGAACTTGACTCAAGAAATCGTAATGACACGATTGCAAATAAACCATACCCCCGGCCGGGATTGAACCCGCGGTCATAGAGTCTCAAAACTCCAGCCCGTCGCGTTAGCCACTAGACCAGCTAGCCACAATAAGATTCATCCAACTAGGTATATTTCTACACCATAGGAAAGTTAGCACAGGCACCTCTGTGACCACAAATGCAAGTTTTTACAGACGAATCTCCAGCTAGCGTGGCCGTGACGAACAGTGACGGCAGTGAAGGGACTTGAGCTAGAGTTCGTCACGGCCACGCTAGCTGGAGATTCGTCTGTAAAAAGTTGCATTTGTGGTCACAGAGGTGCCTGTGCTAACTTTCCTATGGTGTAGAAATATACCTAGTTGGATGAATCTTATTGTGGCTAGCTGGTCTAGTGGCTAACGCGACGGGCTGGAGTTGAGACTCTATGACCGCGGGTTCAATCCCGGCCGGGGGTATGGTTTATGGAGAACTTGCCCATCATTATATGTTTGTTCCCATAGGCTCAGAGACCCTTGGCTCATGGGGAAAGAGTGCATCTAAATTCCTTAATTAAGGAGCTGGGAAAAAGACTCATCAGGGTAACTAGGGATCCCAGGGCAGCTAGTTTTCTGTTCCAGCGGCTCAGTGCGGCTGTTCAAAGGGGTAATGCCTGCTGTATTTTGGGAACACGCCTCAGCCCTGAGGACGGATAGTTTTTTCCCCCTTTAAAAAATTGGAAACACAGTAAAAAACATTTTTCCCTTTATATCCCAAACCTTTTATGTCAACAAGAAATCTCTTAAATCTTCTGAAACCATTTTAAAGGGTAATAAAATATTCCTTTTGGGTAAAAAAAAATATATAAATATATATATAAAAAATTTTAAATATAACATTAAAATATATATAAAATATATATATAAATATATAAAATAAATAAAATATATATATAGTATATATAAAAAAAAATATTATATATTAAATATATAATGTATATATGTAAAATATAAAAATGTATATATATATGTATATATGTATATATATATTTTTAAAATATTAAATTATTTTTATATATGTATATATATAGTATATATATATTTTGTAAAAAAATTTATAAGTATATACCTGGATTTAAACCTGGAGAGAGTTTCGGGGTAAAAGCCCCCGCGGCCCGGTCTGTGACCAGGCCTCCTGGTGGATCAGCGCCTAAATCAACCGGGCTGTTGCTTCTGGTTGAAACGCAAACCAACGTACGACCCACACCCGGGGTTTCAGGAACTGTTTTTAAAGGCTTGTCCAGTCCCACTGAAGACGCCGGGGGTTTTTTTTGGGTAACCCCCCCCTTATGGGTGCTGGGGGGCAGTTGAACAGTCTCGGGCCCCTAAACACTTATTTAGGGTTCTCTTAACGTGCAAAGTGAAAACCCCCGGCTTTTCTTTGGGGGGAGGGTGCACGCCCTGCCAATCTTTTGTTTTTTCGTAGGAGTGTTTTTCCGGTGCAATTTCGGTCCCTAGTCCCTCTAGGATTTTCCCAGGTGATATAATAATGAACTCCCCCTCCTGCGTTCCGGGGAATACGGGTTTTTTAGAAACCTCAAGCGCCCCCGGGAAAATTGAGGTTTTTTATCTCCGTTAGGGCGCGCCGGAAAGTTCTCTGTACATTTTTCTAGTCGGTTTTTTTCACCTGCCTTGAAAGGTGCTGTTAGAGTGCAGCAAAAACCACCCTAGATAGAAAAAGTACCTGAAGAGTGTCATCAGGGGTTTGGGCCTCCCCTAGTTTTAAAAGGGTTTCTCTTATCCTTTCCTGTAAATTTTTCTAGCAGATCGTTTTGATACAATGTTAGGGTCCTTGAAGGTGAGACCCTCCATAAAAATCACTCCCAGGTCTTGACTTTGGGTGTTTCGCTCTTTTTTTGTGGCCAAATTTGTTTTTGTACTCTGATGAAGATTTAATTTCCTCATTTTTAAACCATATCGAGAAAATAAAAATTTTCCCTCATCTTTGAATTTCATATTGTTTTTTTGCAGCCCACGAAAGTTTTTGGTTGATTCCCCTGGAGCCTTCCCAGTGTCTGCAATGGAAGACACTGTAAAGCAGATTTCGGGTGTCATCTGAAAAAGGAAAAAAGACAGGGTTTCTGTGGCTGACATCCTTTCTATTTTGGAAAGGGGAAGGGGAACCAAGAGGGGAGCTAGAATTTGTCCCTTTGGGGAACAGAGCTTTTCACCGTGGGTGCCTGGGCCTTTACTCGGGTTACGACAAACCCCTCTGTGTTCGGGTTAGTAGGAAATTATAGACCCATCGACGACTTTTCCTGTTTTTCCCTTTAGCGCGCATTTTGTGCGCTATTACGCCCAAGGCCCAACACGGGTCGAAGGTTTTTGAAAAAGTCTGTTATATTCCCATCGAAATTTTTTTTTCTTCTATGCATTTAGGACCTTGCCCCGTAGGGGATCCAGTGTTGAGACAGACAGGAGCAAACCTGTTCAAAACCCATGTTGCCCGGGGTTTTGGGTAACTGGGGGTTTTTTCTAGAGGGTTGGTATCTTCCCTTTCTTAGGACCCTTTCAAAGTTTTTTAGACAGGGGATGTTAGGCTATTTGGTCTGTAGTTTTTTGCTGTTGCTTACTCCCCCCCTTTTTGGATGGGGCTAGTCTGTTGTTTTTAGAAACTGGGGGACGCCCCCCCGTGTCCAGCTCCCCTCCAAAAGGAAAGGAAAAAGGGCTCGTGATAGGGGCTTCTTGCATTTTCCCTGATGAACACAGAGTTCCATGATCGGCCCGGGGCAGAGGAAATGGGCATTAAATTTATCGCCTTTTTCGAATCATTTGGGCGTCAGGAAACATGGGAAATGGGCCCTTTGGGTTTTTAATCAAATTTTGGGGCCTCTCAAAAAAAATTTTCTTTTTTGATCTTCGACTCTCAGTCGGGTTTAGCGGTTTTCCCTAAAAACTGATTTCATAGGGGAAACTTGAGTACTCACTCTTTTCCCTTGCTTTTCCGTGTAGGCCCATTTTGTTTAAGTGGGGGGCCCAATACGGGGCTTTTGTTCTCGATTTTGTTTTTGGCATAGGAGAAAAATACTTTGGGTTTCTTTCGTTTTCATTTATAGCTTTAGCTTCCCGCATTCCTGACCCCCTAAAGGATTTTTTTAGCTTAAGTTCGAAGCTTGCTTTTTTCCTGCCCCAGGGGCCCTCCCTGCGCTTTTCAGATATTTTACCTTTTTTTAGCCGCTCTTTATTCTTTTCCGTCGCCTGTAAAGGAGCGCCTGCCCTCTTTTCTTTTTACATCTACTCCCTTTCCCTTTTTTTTAGAGGAATAAGCCTTTTTCATTAACTGAGTGCCCCCGATTAATCTGTTCTAAAGGGAAAAAGTTTTGGGGCTGGGGTTGCTTTGTAAACTTCCCAGGGTTAATCGGTTAGGACTTGGTTTTTTCTTGGGGCCCCCTTTATGTTTTTTTTTATTGAAGTTGAATTTGGTGAATGCTCCCTCGTGACTATCCCCTTTTGCGGTCTTGGGGGCCCTTTGCATACATTCTTTAACCCAAAAATGTTTTGGGTCTGAGGGATATTTTTTTTTTTAAATGGTGACATTTCTTATCAGATCATCAAATTTTTGTGAATAGAGGTCTATGTATTTTCCAGCTAGTAGGCTGATTGTATATATATATATTTTATATATATTATATTTAAATATATATTGTATATATATAAAAAGTATATAAAATGTATGGTATATTATATAAATAAAAATTTATATAAAAATATATATATTAAATTTTAAAAATATAAAATATAATATATAAAATATATATATAAAAATAAAATATATAAAAATAAAAAGAAAAAAACATAAAAAATGAATACAAAAGGCACAATGTATCAAAGATGATGAATTTCCTCCAAACTCCCTCCGAGGCTGGGCGTGAGCCAAGTAAGGGAGCAAGCATTTCCCCCTATATATATTTATATAATATATATATATATAATATATATATATATATAAAAATAATATAATATATATAAAAAAATATAGAATATAATTATTGTATATATAAATTATATTTTATATTATATATATAATTTTATATTATATTTTTTAAAATATAAATATAAATATATGTAATATATATATTAAAAATTTTGGGAATTTTATTATAATATATATATATATTTTATATAGGGGGGGGAAATTTAAAAATTTTTAAAAAAAAAAAAAAAAAAAAAAAAAAAAAAAGAAAAACAAAAAAAAAAACATAAAAATATAAATAAATAAAAATAAAAAATATTTTTTTTGGGGGAAAATAAAAAAAAAAAAAATATTAAATTTTTAAAAAAAAAAAAATAATTTTAAAAATTTCCCCCCGTCGGGCCCCCCCCGAGGGGAGGGGAAACCCAAAAAAAAAAAGAAAAAACCCCCCAAAAAGAAAAACTTTCTCAAACATTCCCCCCCTTTCCCCACCATCACAAAATTATCACTGCTTTTTTTAGAGGGGCT